CTGGGAGGAGGCAGGGTCCTGGGGGCAGCGAGACTCTTCCCAGCACCCAACCTTATCACAGACAAGGTCAGACAAGGTCATCAGGTCTCTGATGTTGGGGGTGCGGAGGAGGAGCCCTATGTGTGTCCACAGTGCCCCTGTCTGATACAGGTGTCCCCAGCCCTGATGGCAGCCCCAGCACTCTGCGTGTTAGCTCCCCTTGTCAGCAGTGTCAGACTGACTGGTGGCACATGACAGCCTCCCTCCTGTCGACAGGGTGGGTCTCCATGGTTTCCAGTATCTGTGGCCGACACAATTAGGCAATATGGTGTGGAGAGCTCCCGAGGAGGGCAGCTCGGAGGCTAGGACCTTCCTGCTGTGTCCTCTGCCCCAGCCCCTCCTGGGTGCAGCCCTGATTATTCAGGCTGTCAGCTCCACCCTCCTGTCACCCCACCAGAGTGCCTGTGTTCATGTAGCCCTATTAAACATGGCCCCAGAATGCAAGACCAATGGTGGTGGCCACTTGGATCGGCCCAAGAGGAGCCACGCTGCGCTCGGTCAGGCAAGAGGAAGCCCTGCGTGGGCACGACAGCCGGGCTGTGCGGCAGGATGGGTGTTCTGTCTGCCAACTGCGAGGAGGGGAAGGATGCTTCATGGTCTCCAGTCCAACTCCAGAGGTCCCAGCTGCCACTGTGTGCAGCACATATTTTGTTAAGAGCGAAGTGGCGCTCCATGAGAGGGATCTGAGTGACTTGTGGCTCTAAGCATCCCCGGTGTGGGCACCACCGTGTGTTCAGGAGAGGACCGAGACCAGGAAGTCACCCGCGCACCCCACCCCCAGCACCCACAGCCAGTCACAGCACACTGCTGCGGCCAGTGGTCAGATGGGACTCTGCCCAGCTGCACTTGCCACTGGGAGGTGGCCACTGTGCCGACTGCCACCTCGGGAATGGCCCTCGGCCTCCTTTCCCAGGACCCTGTCTAGAGGGCCCCGTGTTGTTCTGGGTAGTGACCCACAGCTCATCCCCCTCCTTACTGTGTGTCCCCTCCCCTTGGGGTTCTGTGGCTTGTCAGCTCAGCTATGGGTAAGTGCTAGAGTCCAAGTCTCTGTGCCTCCAGGCTCCTGTAGCGATCCTACCTCCGGCGAGACTGGGTCTGTCCGACCAAATAGCACAGTGCAGAGCTTGGGCCACGGTCCTCTCGCCTGGCAGTGTGCGGGATTCTCACGGCCCCGTGTTCCTGCCAGCACTTGCTTTTATCTGTCTTTGCATTTTGGCACCTGTGGTGGCCTGTGATTTTGATACTGCAGCAAGGGGGTTTGCTAGATGAACTGTTAATGACAGTGGTGATGGTGGTGGTGTCACTGAGACATGCAGACTGAGGGCCTCAGCCCCGAGGAGGCTTTGAACTGGGGACTGTGTGCTAAGCTCCAGTGTTTGAAGGTTTATGTTGTTGGATTTTTTTTTTTTTGTCTGCTGCTTGGGGAGGGCTGGGCCCTGGAGCGCTGGATGGGCAGCCAGCCCCTGGGCAAGAGGCTCTGGCTTTTCGACACTTCCTCATTGCCAGGAAATCGACCCTATGGAAGGCTCTCTCTTCTTGCTAATCCCTCAGGGACCCCCAGGAAACTGCAGGGGCCAGGGGAACAGGGCCAGCAAATCAGCCCAGGGCGAGGGCTCACAGAACACCATGAACTGGGTCTCCCTTGGTGTGGAGAGCAGGGCATGGGGTCTGAGGAGAGAGGACTGAGTCAGGGGATGCATGATCCACTGTTCACGTTATTGGCTTCACTCCATGGGGTGGCTTTGGGGCAGCCCCAAGACCCGGGGTTGCTTACACCAGTTGCTAAAATCCTGGAAGCCTCTGGCATCTGTGTTAGGTCACTGTCCCCTCTGCTTCCGTCCATCAGTGGAAACCCAGGACGTCAGGGTGGGAATACCGGGGGGCAGGCTGAGCCACACTCCAGAGGCTTCGTCTTGGTCCCTCAGCACGGGAAGAACCAACTGGTGGCGGCATCTGTCAGGATAGAGAGAGACAGAAAAGAGAGGGGCCATGGGGGGCTTGGCACGTAGGATGCCCAGAGCCAGCTCAGAGCAGAGGACTGGGGCACGCTGGCCTTATTCCTAGATGAGAACGGGGGAAAGGGGTGCACAGACACCTGGAGACTTGGCAGGGTGACTGTGAGAGTATGCCCAAGGCTGAGGTGTGAGGCCAGCGAGTGGAGTACACACGGGCATGGAAGGGGGCACTCGGAATGTCGGGACCCATGGACTGCCTTCACCACCATGAGTGAGGCAGTGTGGGCCACTGTGAGCCAGCAGGGGGCACAGGGCTGGGTCTGGTCCTGGAGCAGCTCTGTGGCCAGGTGTGTCCCTCCGCCTGGTGATGGGGGTCGAGACTGGGCCGGAACCGTGGTAACGAGGGCTGTACTGCCACTGCCGCCGCCGGGCAGAGCTGGGCTTGCTGTTGCAGTGGGCTGTGCGCAGGGAACGTCTCCGCCCGTCCAGACGTGGGTGGGGATTTCTCCCCAGTTGCTCCTTTGATAGCAAGCTGGGCCGGACAGTGGTGGGGACAGAACAGGGTGCCTCTGTGCGTGGTTTGCATAAATTAATTCCCGGAACATCGCAATGGCAAGAAAGAAAGCTTTGTCAAGGGGCAGATCCAGGCCCCAAATTGAGTGGAGAGGCTGATCTGTGGGCACGGAGAGGCGGCGGGGTCCGGACAGCAGCGCCCAGCCTGGCAGCGACTTCTCAGGAAGTTGCCATGTGCAGGGCAAGCAGGTGGGCATGTCCTCCTGGTGGGCAGCGCCGGCAGACCTCAGAGTCTGTGCTGGAAGGGGCAGCGGGGGCCCACATAGTCCACGCTGTGTAGCTCCTGGGAACACACCAAGGAGAAAGTTGTGCAGTGGTGTTCCCTGCAGTAGGATCCACAGCAGCCAGGGTGTGCGACCAGCCTGGTGCCCATCCACGGAGGATGGATAGAGAAACACGAGCGACAGGCTTAGTGGTGGAGTAGTACATGGCTGTAAAGAACGATGCGAGTTTGCATTTGTAGGAAAATGCACAGAGCTAGAGACAGCCTGGAGTGGAACTGGCCAGACGCAGAGAGACAGGTGTCACACGTTCTCCTTGCTTTGTGGCATCTAAAGAGAAGCTGTGACAGCAGAAGGGAGACTGTTGCCACCCAAGAGGAAGGGGACAAGGACAGAGGGTGGAACGTAAGCCAGGCTCGCGGGCACGGATGGGCAGAAATACGTCAGTGGCACAGAGACCTAACGCTTGGTAAACTTCATAGGCAGTGAGGATCAAGGGGTGAAAGGGCAGATGTGGGGGGAGCTGTGGGGCGGGGGAAGGTGGGGAGGG